CACTTATCAGTTTGTAATTTATATCCGATTAGTGTGTGAATTCCCAGCGGCTAGCACAATGCTGCCACATCACAGGTGCTTAGGAAACACCATATATGCCTGAATATAAGGAAACTGTCCATCTTCCCAATAAGGAAATTTTTAGCCAAACTGAGTATGACAGCTTTTACCACTGAAGATGAAATACTCAAATGCATAGTTATTTTTAATTACTTATATTTAAAATACAGAAATATTTTGTCTAGTCATACATTTTAAGATAGTTTGACCTATGATCTACATCCATCTTTGACATCAGAATAACTGACATCCTCGGGTAACTTTAGTTATTCGAGTGTCCCAGGCACATCCTAGTTCTACGTGAGCTGCTTGAGAGCTGGCACCCTCTGTATCTGTGCATGATGCTAGAACCTGAAGCCTTATCCCAAGTCCAAGGTACCCATTCCTACAACATCCCTGATTCCCCCACAACTGCTCCTATTGGAGCCTTCCCTTCAATTCAGAAGGGCACCCCCACACCCCAGCCATTCAGGCCCCAAACACTGGTGTCATTTTTGACTCCTCTCTAGCTTTCACACCTCATCCTCAAAAATTACATGACCGAATCAGACAACTCCAGTAGCCCCGAAACCGCTGCACGGTCCCAAGCTGCCACTGTCTCCTGCCTAGAACCTGCAGCGGCCACCTCCCTGGTCCCTGCTTCCCCTTTCCCAACTATAGTCCCTTCTCCACATGCAAAAGGGTCCTGTTTAAATAAGAAAGGGGAGTATTTTCCAGATGTCTCACAGCCAGTAGCAGAGTCTGGAACTGAAACATGCCCAAGACCTCAGATCTTTATGTGTAGAACCCTCTACTACGATGTCTCGGGGTTGCTGCTAAGTCATCTGAAGCTTTGTTTCCTGGAACACGGCCACTTCTTGCCTCAGTGGAGCTCCCAACTGGGGTGGGGGCACCAATCTCCAGAAAGGACAGGCCTGGTGAGGATAGCTGATAAAGTGTCAGAGCTGAGATCAGAGCCAGATGGGACTCACTCATGACAGATAAGAACTTCCTTAGAAAGAGTAACAATCTTCTAGAGGCTCTCCAGGTCCAGGATTCAGCAAGCGGTGGTTAATGAAACTAGGCATTACAGCTTACCAGTTGGATAAATTATGAAATTTATTTATATTTCACTTTTTAAAAGCCAGAACATAACAAATGTCACTTTCTGGAAAGTCATCTCATTAGAAATACATGAAGTGCACTTAATACAAGGAAATCAGTTTCTTGGTACCACCAGTGAGACCACTATCGTTGGTTCCCTCAAATGAAGGTTTTATCCAATTTCCCTCTAAACTTAGACCAAGAAGATCTCAATTCAGGGAGGTCTGAGTGAACTTTTCCCAGAAATTACAGTGAAGAAGCTGACCATAACATTCGGGCCCTCCCAAGCAACAGCACATTAGAAAAAATTACTCTGCCCTGAAAGGGCCCTGTCTCTGCTGGTTTCTAGGTGACTGCAGCTCTCAGGGGCAGGTAAGGAGCGGCCCACGGCAGCAGCGCACAGGCTCAAAGCCCCCTGCCATTTGCAACCTTGGCCACTGACCAGAAAAAAATTTCCATATTCAGAAAAGACGTTTGATAGGAAAAAACAAATCTAAACCCAGATGCCTTCTGGTCAATCAGAGGTTCTCCGCCTACAGATTAGACTGACAGCCCTTAGCCTTGTATTTATTAACATTTGTGAAAAATGTTGAACTTCAAGCTTCTTGATCTGTTATCAAAGCAAGTTTCTAGGAGACAGTTCCTACTACCAATTGCTTGCAGGAGTGTGCTGTGCCTTTTGAACAGCATGTCTTGTTGAAGAGACAGCAGGCAGTGATACCGAATTTCCCATAACCTCTCTGCTTTAGAAGGCAGGTCTTCACACACCAAATTACATGTTGAAACCAGTTTTATAAGGAAACCATTCATGACAGAAAAGCAACACTCAGTTTAATCTAAGTTACCAAGTAAAAGATGAAAGAACTAGTATCCACTGGAGCCCGCAAACGTCTTCCTTCTTATTCATATGAGGACTCCTTTTCATGCTTCAAAAACAAGAATGTAAGCAGGTTCCCAAATAGAGAGGCAAACATGACTGCATCATTTGAAAATACCTCATCAACTTGAAAATCAGAACCAAAAAGTGATAGCCCTCCTACCTCACTTAGCTGACTCGCCTTCCCACTTATAGATAAATGGAGTTTAACTTTCCTATCCTAGAAACACTTATTTTCACTAAAAATATATGGTTATACCTTATTCTAAAAAGGCACCATGCAGGCATTTAAGACTGAGCCAGTTAATCCTAAGGGTGGTAGGAATGGTAGGAAAATTTCACTAATCAAAACTTTCAGCATCAGATCATGTTAAGCTCAGAATATTCACCCCGAAAGGACTTGTAAGTGTCTCCCATGAGGTAACTCCAGCTCTGGTAGCTGCTGCCAAGGACCAACTAACAGAAACTTCAAGAGCACAGGAGGAATCCCAGCACTGATCAAATGCATTACTGCCAGAGCTCTCACACCTCAGGGACAAGGAGGAGATGCATGTCTCATTTGTGCTATTCATGACCCAGAGAAGCCCTGGCTGGCTCGGAGGACCTGAGAGATGAACACTGGACAGGAGGATCAAGTGTGAAACAAGGACAGGAGAAGCCAGGTTCCCTTCTGAAAGAGGAGGAAGAAGCTCCAGGAAGTGGCTAAGGAACAATGAAAGACCAGACATGTGACAAACAGTGAACAGCAGGGGAAGAGCCCAAAGGAAAGGAGGGCTCTGACCGGGGCCCAGTCCCCCTGTCAGAAGTGACCCTGTCCTAATGCCATGGCTGCCTTCCAGGTCTGTCGTACATTTTAGGTGGATGAGTCACATGTTTCACGCTTAACACATAATGGAGACTCTGGAGCGTGAGTGACAGCAGGGACTGCTCACTGGTCGATGATGGAGCGCTGCAGAACCTGGTTCATCATGTCTTCCTCATCAACGTCGTAATCCTGCAGGCAAAGCACGGACGCTCAGCAACCGTGTGCAACAGCAAAGGCTCACTTTCAGCAGAAGCAGAATGTCTGAGTGACGGGTGCCGGAGAGGGCTGCCAGAGGCCAGTTCCCAGCTCCGCAGTTTGTTGCGTGACTCTGGGCAAATTGCTTGACCCTTCTGTGCCTCTGCTGCCTCATCCTGAGGATGAACATAATGGCGGCTCCCACAGACAGGGTGGTGAGGACCAGAGAGCACCTGAACAGAGCCTGGCACAGGCCAAGTGCTCAGACTTGGGAGGCCCTGTAGGGAGACCAGCCTTTCTGACTCAGTGATGCAGAGGTATCTACTTGGGCTTTACTTGGGAATCGTATTCATCTTTAACAAAACAACAGTTATTTTGAAGTCTGAGTTTCAGACACCCTATTGGGCCAAGAACAAATACTCTTTATGACAACTTAGGGAAGAGCCATGCTTTCCTTCTTGGGTCCTGAAATACCGCCAGTAAGACTGACTACTGCTCTAAAATCCTAATTTGACAACTACATATGTAAATAAAAGGTTTAAACAGCTAGCCAGATTTTTCTGTCACTATAATGCCAAAATAGTGTGTCCCTCAAAACCACTCGGCTCTAGGCAAAGGATGTAAATCTGATGATCACATTGGCTAGTTGATGTATTTTGTCTGCCTGAAATACTTAAAAAAAAAAAAATGGGCTGCTCCATGTGAAATTCTGCCTTTCCAGCTCCTTAGGGTTGGGGTGGGGGAGGAGACTGGCAATACTGTGCCTGTATTTCCACACAACAATCAGCTGGAGCTGATGGCAGCATAACCGGAGTCATACACCATCCGGCTGGCAATTCCTTATGAGAATCACTTCCGTTACCTGCCTGGTCCCCGTGAGCACCTGAGCTTAAGGATCCCAAACCAGGCTCTATATCAGGTAGAAACTACACATACCGAAAGAAAGTGGACAAAAATTTTGGAGAAGATAAAATAAAAGCAAGCATTCACTATGTCTCAATCTAGATGACCGGCTAGTTCATCTTAACATGCTGACTGCCATGTCACCCAAATCTGGGTGACAGCTGTTTCCTCAGGGTCACCCGATCCACAGTGGGCGATCAACATGTTAAATATCACACAGCTGTCATCTCAGGGAGCCCTTCATGTTAGTGACAAAACTCACCACAGTTCTCAGGTCAGAGAAGGGAGAGGGCTGCACTATGCCCCCAGGGCAGGAATCAGAGCCCAGACTCGAGACTCACCACAAAAGTGTCATAAGAAAACTGGTGCCGGCGCTGGATGTGCTCTATGAAGTTGGCGCTGCGGTAGTTGGGGTCTCCCCATGGCATCGAGGCACATATTGGACAAACCTTTCAACAGAGAAGCATAGTGTTAGGTACCTGATGTCTGAGCTGACATTAGCCCTCTGTGGAACATATCAGAGCACATTCACATCCCAGAAAACACTGTCAATCTTCTACTCAAGTCACATGACAGGCAGGGTGGATGGGGGGGCGGTAAAGGCTTAAGCTATGATACCACCCATTTCTGATCCCCTACTGAGGTCAAAACAACGTGTCAGCCCAGTAGGGCCTAGATTCTGGTTTTCCAACCCAGCACACAAAACAATCCAAAAGCATAAAGAAAATCAAGGAAATGACAGACGAGCAATGTCCTAAGGAAGTAAAACACAGCCTTATGTGTTGTTTTAACAAAGTAAATGCTGTGATGAGGGGGCTCAGGCTGAAAAGTCTTAGTCTTCACAGAAGAGGCTGATTTAGGATTTGAAGAGTAGGAGGCCAGGGAAATTGAACTTGGCCCCTGCATAGGGCCTCAATCACATGCTCCTGTTCTGTAGCTTGGTGTGGATAGACATGATGACTTGGCCAATGTGGACCCTGGCCACGGTGCCCTGGGCTTTCCAAAGGCACCCCGTACACCTTTCTGGAGCCTAGGCTGTGGACAGCCTGAGGCCAAACATGAATGTCCTCCGGAAATGGCCGTCTCCAAGGTCCCTTAGGGCAACTCATACAAGCAACAGGCTGCACACACTACCGAGAATGCTGTTTGCAGCCACTGCACACTAGGCCCTCATGCAGAAAAAGAGCACAGTTGGTTTAGCTGGCTATAGTCTAAAACTTTATTTTATAGAAACACATAAAGTCTATGGCAGCCGCTTAAAATTCATTATAGAAAACTTCAGACCTACAGGAAAGTAGATAATAATCTGATGAACCATCCTTTAACCCCAACCCCTAGATTTAAGTCTGACATACTTCAGCAATAAATAAAGCATTTAAAAATAAGACACAACAATTCACCCTTAACTATTTCAGTACAGTACAACAGGGGTTTCCCTTTACAAATACAATACCATCATCCCACCCATTGATGAACAAGAATTTTTTAGTAGCACTTAACATCCAGTCCTTAATCAAATTTTCTGACTTTGTCTGGAACTAACCTTGACATTTATCAACAAAGGACCAGTTAACTCATGGTACAGACAAGTAATGGAAAAATGAAGTTCAACTGAAGTTCAAAAAGAGTCAGATCCGGGGGGAGGGTATAGCTGAAGTGGTAGAGCACATGCTTAGCATGCATGAGGTCCTGGGTTCAATCCTCGGTACCTCCTCTAAAAATAAATAACCCTAATTACCTCCCCCCACAAATAAATAAATAAACAAATAAATAAAACAGAGTCAGATCTACATGTACTGATGTTGAACAGACGCCAACAACACTGCTTACAGTGTGTAGACTGTGCTGTCATTTGCATTAAAAGGGGGACAAAAAAGGAGCACATAAATGAATCATACATTCGAAAACAAGAAATGTCTTTGGATGCCATGATTCTGTATTTTCCATACACACTGTTGAGCACTACTCAATATGCCAGTCAGCACCCAACAGAGGCCGACTCTGATGCTGGGGAGAGAACTGGTTTAGGAGCCAGGACACTGGGTTCCAGTACTGGTTCTGCACAAACCAGCTCTACAACGTGGGTAACCACTCAGCATGGGTGGCACACCAGTTTCCTCACTTACTCACTTCTAGAAGTGAGTGCAGGGGAGACGGTGGTAGGAAATGAATTAGAGTATCTCTACCATTTGACTTAACATACATTTTAGTTTTCATAATTTCCAAAAGAGCTGAGCTTATCTGGCTAAGTTTAAAATGGAAAATGGGTTGGGGGAGAGGGTAGGTGGTAGGTGTTTGTGTGTCTCTGCTCACTTGCTCTTTCAATTAGTAACTAAGAACCATAACTAAAACATCTTAAAGATGCAGCTGAAAATGTGGACCAAATCTAAACTTTCTTTTTTAAAAAAGAAACTACATGTCAGCCTTGATATTTAAATTAAATGTCAAAGAAACTGATAAGCACTTCCCCAATAATTTCATCTAAATTTTCTTTCTCCACAACTACGAAGAAGCTACTCAAAAGGAAAGTGGCAGCTTTATGGAAAAACTTGGCAGACACCAAGGGATTCAAGTTAATTTCATCAACAATGGCAACAACAGACATCACATGACCCCCTAACATGCACCTGGAGGACGGAGCATCCCTGTATCTAATCACGAAGAAACAGACAAACTCAAATTGAAGGATATTCTACAAAACAACTGGCCTGTCCTCTTCAAAAATGTCAAGGGCATGAAAGACAAACTGAGGACTAAAGAGACATGACAACTAAAGGTAACACACAGATCTACAATTTGGGGACAGGAGGAAATTGTCATGAAGGACATTACAATTGTTAACATTTAAACATAAATTCCAGATTAGATATTGACTTTTTTCCCCCACAAAAACTAAACCAAAACAAAACCCCACAAAACAAAACAAAAAAACTCAGAGTTACTCTTACCACAGATTTGGTGTCCGTGCTATGGGATAACTTGCAGTGTTCCACAAGTCCTTCTTGATCAAAATTCTTCTCAGGACAGTAAGGACAAGGAAAAGTATAACGGTTTGGGACGTTCCTGGAGATAAAAGACAGGAAAAAAGAAGAAACTTCTCTGTGAGTACCTTTCTACACAATTTGAACCACTGTACTCTCCAGAAAGGAGCAAAGTTCACTAAATGTGTTATGTCAGGGATTTTGATGATCACTTCTGCATCAGGGGAAATGTTCTGAAAATAACAGCACAGCTAACATTTGATGTGAACAGCAAAGTCCTCTCTCCAAAACAAAAACTTATATACGCTTTAGCCAGCTGCCTATATACAACTACTACACCTCCACTTTTCAAAACTCATACAACTAAACTCTTGAACATGCAAAGTGTCCAACGTCTTTGTAGCAAAAGATGACTTCCACCTAAGAGAGTGATAGAGTCATTTACCTTGGCTGAAGGGACGCATCCTTGGTGGTGGCCTTCACACCTTCCATGATGTAATTTTGGTATTTAGAACAGGTAGCCACGTGCGCCCGGATCTTGGATAGGAGGAACTTAGAGAGGAAGAATCAGAGCCCACACGTTAGTCAGGTTCTTGTATCCAGTCGAACATATCCCCAAAGCAAAGGCAAGATGAAAACTAGGCTCATACCACCCTGGCAAACAATCTCACCAGACTCCTGGCTATGCTGATGGGGCTGAAACTCTGACTGTTGCAGTTTCTGTTAACACTAAAGGCTAACATTTTACTTGCCCAAACCAAGACATCCGCTTTCACTCTAAAATCATTCTCCTACACGTTTGCTTTATTCATGATGTGCTCTCTGCTCAGAGATACTTCAAACCCAGTGAAGTGTTTAAAGTTTTCCACACTAGCACTTAAACTAGCCTCCTTACAGCAAGCCAAGAACCACAGTCCATTATATGCAACAGAGAAAAATAATCATTAAAGTAAAAGGGATAAAGGCTAGTAATCCTAGTTAAATATTAATATCCTATCACTAGACTGTGATAAGTAAGCTTAAAAAACAAAAACAAAAAACTCCAAAATCTGAATCCTACTTCTCTTATAAAATCTAGTCTTTGCAAGATGGAAAGACAAAAGAAAACCTAGAGAAGAATGCTTCATCACAGGTGTTCTAAAAAGAAAGGAAAAGTGTAAGGAATGAAGGAAAAGGAGGTAAAGGGGAGATAAACATTTTTGGAGGCATAATACACCTGGAGGTATAATACCACAATCACTCATCTTTAAAATGAAGAAAATCAAAAGCACACAGAAGTTAAAAAAACCCACCATGCATACACAAAGAAAGGTGAAGGTTAACAGGACATTTCAATATTTTAAGTTTCAAATCAAAAGAAACTGCAAGGGAAAAAATGGCTCAGCATTTCAGCTCCAGCTTCCCATGATGGTTCTTTCTGTCAAATCCCCAGCTAAAGAACTTCATTCAAGCTGCCAACCAAAGAGCTCCTACTTAAAAGGGATGGAAAACAGCCCTACTCAGACCTGCAGCCACTGTGATCCCCTAGTGCCAAATCACCCTGAAAGGAAGGACTGGTAAGGTATATCCATTCTATGGCCATCCATACTAAAGCAGTGAAGTATGAAACTTATAAGCAAGGCTGTCCAGTAAGTGAAAAAAAAATTTTTTAAGTGAAAAAAATTGTAGGAATATACATCATGATCCTATTTTGTGAAAATTCTACATCTGTATTTGTAAAAACCCCACAGTTGTGTTCATCAAAGGGCAGAAAAATGTTTTGCAGCCTTCTAAACTGCATGATTTTTAAAGAGAGAATCTCTGCAGTGGAGAACAAGCCTACATTAGTTTATATTTTTGTACTGTCTGGAATTAATAACATCATAATGACTTAAAAATCAATGCTGGGTATATCTCTGAAAATAAGACAAGAGAATTTCTCCCTTGCAGTTATAATAAATGTTAAAATAAATATTCTTGACTATAATATGGTCACACAAAAGAGCATGGAGCATTTCAATGTTAGATATTGCTATTATAATCAAATGACTTCATAGTGACCTTTGCATCACAATTCCTCCTTACCTAGTGCTAAAAAGCTGAACAAGTTTTCTATCCATAATAATATGGATTTTAAAACTTCCCCTCAAACTCACTGCAGCAGATAACTTTTTTTAAGGCACTAATTTCATTCTTATTTTAAAAAATTATGTATCATTCTGTCACTATAGTCTAATTTAAATTGTGCATGCTGCTTTGGGAAAATGAGTCTTTCATAGGATAAAACTGGGATAATTGATTTTCTATGGCTTTCAAAGCTAAACTATGTAATACACTAAACCAATTCTTTTTTTTTGGTGGGGGAAGTAATTAGGTTTATTTATTCTTAGAGGAGGTACTGGGGATTGAACCCAGGACCTCATGCATGCTAAGCATGCACTCTACCACTTGAGCTATACCCTAGCCCCCCAAACCAATTCTTAAACACACACAACCAGTAAGGTTACCAAAATGAAACAGCACAGCCACTGCCACAGATAACCAGCATGCACCAGTGCTGTTAGTCACCTAGACATGCTCTAACTTCAGAAACAGCGTGGCAACAGCTCTACATTTTACCCATCTTTTCATAGAAAGATACTGACTTCTGTTTTACTTCCACATACATTTTTACGGCAGCCATGGCAAGAAGTCTCTGTGCTCTCAATCTGCCGCTCGAGCTCCACGGCTCGGACGCCAGGTGCCAGAGTGCTGCGACACACCCCACAGACAGGCTTCTTCGGCTTCAGACATTCCTGCAGGCATGCAGAGCAAAAGCTAGAACAAGACACACAGAGAACCTGCGTCATGCATCATGGAGACAAGACAACAAAAATGGATAAACTTTTAAAACATCATCAATGAATAATGGATTAAAAACACTTGTTTCCTACTCTTGATATGAATACTGAGTCCTTCTAGGCCAGAAAAATGGGGGGGTGGGGGAGTTCCTTGCAAAGAACACACGTATCGAACAACAGAAATAAAGACAAACTACCATGACACATGGCGGAAGGCGTTATGGTGCAGTCTTCAAATCTTAGTCCCTGCCACTCAGGGATCTTGGTGGAGTTTTCTGAACTTCGGTTTCTCCTCTGTGAAATGGAGATCACAGTACCTACCTCTAGGATTGTTGGGAGGATGGAATATGTATAGCAGACTCTTAGCATATAGGAAATGTATCACAAACAAGCGATCATCAGAGGTGAAT